TTGATAATGAATCAAATCCTAATATCTTCTGGTAATACGATTAGAAATTGCCCTTAAAGATGTGCACTCTTTTTCAAAGAAATAGAAGGTATTGCTGGTTTATTTTTTCAAGTGACCTGTTTTATCATCAGCCAAGGTAGTACTTAAAACCTCTGACACAGGTTTAGCTAGAGCGTTGTGACAAAATAATTGGATTATAAGGTCCAGATTGAACTGAGGACTATTGTTGGGGCCTGTGATTCTTACCCCCTGTGGTTAAAGCCCTGAAAAAGCTGTTTCTTCCAAACTGACGGATCTGAAGGCCGTGTAGATGCTTTTTCTTTTCACTTCCTTTCATCAAATGTTAAATCTCAGCTTTCAAACTGCTTAGATTGTGACTGTGGCGTCTTTTTGTATATATTCATGTATCAAGTCTGTACATTTTCCTCAGGGCTTATTTTATTCATGTAGGAAAAAAACTAGAATAACACATAGATTTGTTTTGGCATACACAGCCTTCAGCAGAGCGTGCAAAATCAATTCAGTGAAGAGTCTGTACAGCCTCACATGTCTGCAAACAGCCACGCTCATACTGCAAAACATGAGCGCCGCTTTTCTTCTCTCCGCTTGTTTTTCTTCACAGCTATGTTTGACCGATGTTCGGCTCCAGCATTCAGCTTCTACCTGTTTCACAGAAAATCTGAATGCTAAGAACAGCGTGAGAGAAGCCGCTGTAGTGTCTCCTATTGTTGGCCTTTTCCGTGCCCTTTTTGTCTCACAGCTGTTTTCCTCTAATGCACTAAAGAAAATGTTTTTATGACAGCCGTTGAAGGAATGAGCCATTTAAAAGCTTGGATTGATGCAGTAAAATGTTTTTATGGTTTTTACTGGTCCCTAAATGCAACTCAGTCACAACTGTTGCATTTAAGAACAACATGAATGAGTCCCATTTTTATTTTACAATCATCCAAACAAAACCCAGTAACTATTTTAATCTATTTAACCACCAGCATGTGGACAATACATTTCATAAAATAAAAAATAAAATAAGAGACAAATGCTCACCTGCCATTTTATTAGGTACATCTGAATTTGCTGTGACTGCAAACATTCTTTCTTTTTATTTATTCTTTTTATTTATGGTGGGCGGTAAACAGCAGCTAGATTGATACTGCGATCAAAGAGATCTTTTTCTGCAGGCCGGATGCCTCTGGCAGCATCATGGACAATTCATGGACATTACGCTGCCGTGCTTTATGCAGAAGTTAGGCTGTCGATGGACAGAAGGTCTTGACTTGTTATGAATGCTCTATGTATGCCTGAACTAGAAAAAATAAATAGAATGTTCACTTAGGCCAGGATTTTAGAAGATTCTGGACGTCATGCATATGCTGCTGGCTAAATGGTCAAGCTGTTTTTCCATTTGTTTACTGCATGAACCTAGTGGTTAATGTTAATTGGAAATGTCTCTAAATGGTTAATTTCTCACATTTAAACACAAAAGTGGAGATGTTTTTGATTTGGGTATATAGAAATACTCATCTGCAAACTCTAGAATAATAGAATGAAAGACACCACTGAGAGTAATTGCTAATATGGCCCTGATCCACTAAAGGTTTGAATGTTTAAAATCACATGCAAACCTGATAACACAGATAGCTACTGACCAGTTGTATATGAGGTTCATCTGCCTAAAATGAGCTTAAAACATGTCAGGGATTTAACCTGATGAATATGCAGAACATATGCTGATCATCAGAACATGCTAAATTCTGGGAGAGAAATGCAATATATTACTAACTACAGGAAGTGTGATTTATCAAACCCTAAAGTATAATGTCAGCTCTTTGAAGTTTAATGATTGAAATTAATTTCAATTCAATTCAGTTTATTTATATAGCGCCAAATTCACAACACATGTCATCTCAAGGCACTTTACAGTTCAACCAGATCATCCAGTCAGATTGATACAAAGTTTTCTATCTAAGGAAAACCAGCTGATTGCATCGACTCATTGACTCTTCAGCAATCCCTCACACTAAGCATGCTTGTAGTGACAGTGGAGAGGAAAAACTCCCTTTGAACAGGAAGAAACCTCCAGCAGAACCAGGCTCAGTGTGAGCGGCCATCTGCTGAGGCCCACTGGGGTTCAAGGAGACAGAAGCAGACATAGAAAAAGAAGCATAGATACAAAAAGCAACTGTAAAAGGCGGCCCCGCCCAGGAAACACACAGCCAGGCAGACGAGCTCCAAGGCAGCTCCCATGTCAGAGGATGAAGAGAGCACATCCACTCAGTCACGGTCAGAGAAACAGGACCACACTGGAAAACAGGCCGATCTCCAACATCTAATTAGATATTTTTCTTCAATTTAGCTTTTATGATTTTCTTTTTTTTTAATGTTTTTAGTGAAATGTAGTAGCACTTTGAAAAGCTTATATGTGAAGTGCACTATATAAGCAATATCCAGGGTTAATATCTTCATATCATTAGTTAGTTGCTAATTATATAAAAAATTCATTTATTTATTTTTCCCTGACCGTAATTTTTACACTTCTTCTAACAGGATTTTGTCTACAATATGTAATATTTTTTCTAAATGATTTTTCGTAGGCCAGGAATGCTGGCTTTTACTCTTACCTGTACCAAAATACATCAGATCAGACTAAATTCATATATTCCTGTTTGTTCAGTTCCAGTTTATGCAATAGTGGGCCCTTTATGGAGTGACTGTTACCTTTTGGCGAGAGCCTCCCGGGTTCCCACATGGACTATCAATCATGTGTACCAGAAGTGCATGATGATGAAACTCCCATTCATATGGAGCTTAAAATGCCTCACCCAAAAACTGCAAGTAAAACCACATGCAGATCACAACAATCTGGTTTTACAGGTTCTATTAGGGTCGTAATAAAACATGTTAGCTAATTTACTAGATCTTTGCACATGTATATTATTTAGATACATGAATGTTTGTCAAATTTCTCTTTGCTTTTCACCGTCTAAGTTTCCTGTTGTAGAGATGAAACTTTAGTCTGCTTTTTTAAATGAATAGCAGAGCCAATAAAGGATGCTGTTCATTCAATGATTTAGTGGTCCATCTTTTCAAAGTGTTCATCTTTATTGGTCCCAGTAATTGCTGTTTCTGTCTGCTTGAAGGATATTTTTAGGGCCTTTCTTTATTCTTGGAAAACGATTGGCTTGATGTGGGAGCAGCCCAGGCTCTCTGTCATTGGCCGCTGGAGCAGCTCACTTTAACCACTAACCATGTGGAGACTTTAGCTGTAATTACCCATGAAGTGTTTATACTGCTCTGCTGTCCTCACACCCACAAATCATGCTCCTCTTCTTCTTCTCAACAGCACTTCTCCTGTTGGGAACATATGAGCCTGTGCATCACAGCTATAACCTGAAATATTATTTTCATTTCAGCAACGGTTTCATAACTTAGATGTCAGAGACGGCAAACACGCGAAGACTTGGCCCACTTTCCGCCCGGCCTTGGCCTACTTGCATGAACTCTGCAGCGTTGTCTGTTCTCCCTCTCCCACCTCGGATCCTTCCCTCCTCGCCCTTCAGAGGAGTTTGGCTGATATTCTCTGTCACAGTCCTGACGCAGCACTTCCTCGGTCTCAGCTCCCTTCTGCCCGGGGCTCTGACTGCTTCTTTTGGACAATGCCCATCTTTGTTTGCATCTCTCCCCCTGCGTTTCGGGAATCCAGGCATTGCTGGTAACCGCTGGTGGCTCAGGATGATGAGGTCATGGGCTCTGTTTGGCCTGCCCTTGCCACAGCCACCGATGCCTCCTGAAACAATGGGAGCTTTCTCCTTAGGGCTGATACGGGCCTGCAGACAGTCGTGGAGACAAGCTATTGCAAGTCAGAGACATCCTGCTTTTGTAATCTAAATGTTGCTGGTATGAACGGTTAATTCCCTAATTAATCCTCCCGCTCACCGGATGCATATTTATAACTCCAGATTTTTGTTTAGGCTGCTCTGCTTTTCGTAAGCCTGAGTGTATATAACATATTTTCTTTGACGCAATATTTACACAAGCACGTTTGGAAAGTTCATCAGTTTAGTCTGAAAGCAATCCTTTACTTTCAGAATGAGTTGGTGGGGGGGGCACTTTCCTTTTTAGATCCAATGGTAAACCCGCGATACCCAGGAAACTGAGGCGTTTTGGCAGACGGTGGATAAATTAGCTGGAAAATCTGCATCATATTAGAATCTGAAATTGGTTTCCTCGTTAACATTTCAAAATTATTTGATGGCTCAAACTGGACTAATTATGTTACAAAGCCTCATTTTCTCCCCTATATCTGCTTATTTTTAACTCTTTCAGGGTTAAATTTCAAAGACATTTCATTTATGTTGAGGCTGGACATGTTTTCCATTATATTTGACACTTTAATCATTTTTGTTGTAATAGACTTGTTTTTTTTTGCCCTTCATTTTTTTTGTAGACTTTTAGGAAAAAACTGTTTTGAAGCTAGAATTGGTTCCATGTTTGTCCGGTTCTGATCGATAGTAAATTCTCCTAAATGTGCTGTTTCCAGCTGGAGTCTAAAACTGTGTTGAGCATTTGGACGTTTCAGTACTTTTCCATATCAGCCTAAATCAGGACATCCTTCAGCCCAACCTGCTTCCTTTTTATAGCAAGAAGTCTTTGTCACATCAGACTTTTTTCCTCCTTCTGGGACAAATTAGTTTTTCCCTGATGCCTCTGTAGTACAATTTCTGCTCCTCGTAGTTCTAAACAGGTTATGTTTTGTTTTTTCATAAGCTGAAATATTATTAAAAAAATGAAATGAAACTTTATTTAAATCGAATACCTTTTCCTTAAATTACATTTCATTTTGATTTGCACTCTAGCCAGCTTTTCCAAAACCAATTATTGCTCCTTGTTCTTTTATCAAACAATAAAATGCTGTATATATATATATGTATATATATGTATATAGACGTATATAGACAGATATGTAACTGTAATGTTGATGACATCTTTAATGTCTTCTGCAGCACTTGGTTGACTGGGATGCTGGGAACCCAGAGTGTTTGCTTCAGCTGGTGAAGGAGCTCATCCAGCAGTACCATCAGTACCAGTGCCACCGCCTGCGTGAAAGCTCCAGGCTGCTGTTTGAGTACGACAGCCTGCTAGAAGACCCCAGCTTTGGACAGAACCTAGAGATTTATGCCGGACGGAAGAACGCCTGGGTAAGATCTTTTATCGGCTCATTAGGTATTACACACGCAGGATAGTTCTGAAAACAGAAGAAAGCAAAGTAAACATGACCGTCAACATGGAATCACATTAAGGCCGTGGCTTAGCAGAGGTCACATGGATCTGGGCTGCTTATATTTCATCTGGTCTAAAAAATGAGAAGTTGTTTTATGAAAAAATCAACAGGAAACATCATGTAACAAGACTTCCTGTTTCCTTCTTTGTTATCTGAAACTTGACTAAGTTTATCCGTCTTACACATATGAATATCCTTTTACATTAAATATATAAAACATATTTATATTTTTATTTTACAGATAAATATGTCAAACAGTCCAAAAAGCCTTTTTAAAAAGAGGTTACAAAACCGTGAGAGGAGGAGGTCCTTAGTGAAAAGGTTTCATCCTTCAGGCATGGAGTCGCTCCGTAGAGGAAAATGTTTCCAGACACCTCTGCTTCAACAATTAGTCACATTTAGTTTTAGTTAAAGTTAAAAACGTTATTACATACTGTGTTTGTTTGAATTTCATGGAGTTCTTTAACTTTTTGGGGAGAATTTTATGTCAACAAGGTTTACTAAGTTTTTTTCTTCTTTTTTTGAAATCGAACCTATTAAGACCTGCACAATTAAAAACTTTATAATCCTTTTAAAAAGGAAAAGATTGACTAACATGTTATCATAAAAACCATAAAGTTAATTTGCATAGCAAAATCCAATGAATAAAATATGTTTTAGATGCTAAAATCCAGGAAACTCCTCTTTTCTCTCCCACTCTGCGTTTATTGAAGTCTCCTGTGCTGCAGTAATGCTCCAGTGGACCGTTCCGGGTGGGATGGACCAATCCTGCCATCTGAGCTTTTTCAGTTGCAGGTTCTGCTGACAGGTGCTCTCGCACCCTGTTGTGTTGTCTTGTCGCCATGGCAACGCTGATCTCTTAATGCTGTAATGTAGTAACAACTCTTGGTTGCAGGGGTTTAAGACTAAACAAACTTCTACTTGTAAAAATGAAATAATATTCGATTCAGGGCGAAAGTTTGAAAATTCTCTGTTCCTCATTTCAAAGCTAAATTATGCATCTTAAAGCACTGGGTTTACTACATGGTTATTCACATCAGATTTATTTAGATTAGATCAGGTAAATGTAGGAACACTGGGTATGGAAATAAGAGGTTCAAATAAAATTTGCTGTTAAATAAATCATGACTTTATTTTGTATTTATTGCCTCTTTCTCTGGTCTGATATTTTCCCGTCTTTTTTGTGTGTTCCCAGACAGGAGAGTTTTCAGCCCGTTTCCTCCTGAAACTCCCAGTGGACTTCAGCAACATCCCGGTTTATCTTCTCAAGGTAGTTAGTTAGCCACATCAAGCAGGAGGCGCCATTAAAGCACGGGGCGCTATTAAAGCACGGGGCGCTATCAAAGCACGGGGCGCTATTAAAGCACGGGGCGCCATTAAAGCACGGGGCGCTTCCTGCATGCTGTGCAGACACTGCTGCAGACTCCAGCATCAGTCCTGACATGAGCTGTTTTCACTTCCTTCACATGTACGTGTGTCAGTGGGTTTTAAATGTTTGCGTCGATAACAGAGGGATTTATTCAAATGAAGTGAAGTGCAGCTGTGTGTGCGCCTGCCTCGGTGTTGAGGGGCTGCGAGTTGACTAATCAGCAACTGTCACTGTGGATCTGCTCTGAGCCGCGTGGTGTCTGCAGGCACACACACACTGGATATCTATAAATATTTCCATGTCTGTCTCCGTTCTCTTTCCTCGCTGATGATCTTTAGCAGCCAGAGGCCTCTGCTCTCCGGCCTTCCAGCCCTGCCTCCGTCTGTGATGGTAAACATACGGGAAACGGCAACCATCATCAGCTTTATCTGTCAAACCTGAAGCCCCAAGACTGATCTCTCTCTTCTAGCAGGCAGTGAATGGGCTTATCAAGTCAGTCACATTTCCACTCATTCTGGGAATTTGGTGTCATTTATTTTTGTCTCTGTGCAATTTTAGCCAAGAAACAGGTTTAAACCTCGCCCTGAGGGAAGCCTTATTGGCGACATGCTTGCTGTCACTTGCAGAAGCAATGCTCAGACTCACTGACCTTTTACCAGTGGGTGGCGGCGGCCCAAAAGCTTGGAAATAATAGAACTATAATGTTTCAATATTTTAAAATAATAAATCAAATCTTGGAAAAGTATTAATATTCCTGTCACCCCTATCATAAATATATATATATATGATATACTTGGCAGCTGTGGTATGCATAGTGTCAGTAAGGGAGTGCTTGAACACTTGAAGAAAGGAAAGTAATGAACATCATCAGCCCACACACCTTGTCCACCTCCGCGCTCTAAGGGAGTCAGGCAGGCTGCATGCAGGCTGGACTGGACCACATCCCAAAACCCATGACCTCAATTTTCATTTCCACACTTGTCTTCAGATTGCTTCTGTCAGTAGGGGTGTGTGTGTGTGTGTGTGTGTGTGTGTGTGTGTGTGTGTGTGTGTGTGTGTGTGTGTGTGTGTGTGTGTGTGTGTGTGTGTGTGTGTGTGTGTGTGTGTGTGTCTGTATATTCTTGAGTCAATTGTTTCCATGCATTGCGCATTCCTGCTCTTCATGCAGTTCTTCGGTGTTGAAGGGCAGCTGAAGTGTAATTAAGTTATTCTTTCGATGGCGTGTGACGGAGCGAATGAAATTCTCTATAAAATCCCACATAAAGAAGCAGTGAAACAAGTTTAATACTCACTGGATTATACCTCATGCACGTCATTTATATGAAATATATTCATGTTCTTAGCCACGCGACTGAAACTGGACTGGTAGGTTACTGCTGAGACCAGGAGGACCCAAATGATTAACATAAAGGTTCTTTTTATGCCTTAGGAAACTGAGGAAAAAAAAAAAAAGCTTTTGAAAAAAGAATACAGTCGTAAAACATCTAGAGTAGTCAGAATTAAACTATTAATTATATATAAATAATTGTTTTACAGATTTTGACAGGACTCAAATAGACACATTTTTACCTCTAGTTCACGACGCTGTCACAAAACGTTTCTGCATCCCGTTAAACGAGCTCAATCGTTGTGTGATGGTTGTTTCTCTATGGTAGCTCTGAGAAATGGCTTCTGGTGTTGCATTTCTCAGATACCAGTCAAACAGAACGGAGCAAAAAGGGGGCGGACATTAGTCAAGCTATTAAGCCTTGGTGTGTATGAGCTGTAAAATGGCCACTTGTTCATTGGCTTCTTAGGTTTGATCCTGGAAGATTCTGGATATAGATGGGACTTAGGTGGATGATCACCAGAACTTCTTCGGCGGCGCCGGAGGGAGTGTTTTCATTTCCAAAACAACATTGGTGTGTCTGGAAGATATCACCGTCATGGAGACGGATCTAGAGTTGCTAGACATCAAAGAGGATCAGGTTTCTGTTAATGGAGATGGCAAAAAGACAGGAGAATGCGTAGGTGGCGTTTACGCCCCTTGGATCAGACCAGGGATGAGACCGGGGAGTCTGGACCCGGCACCGAATCCAGAAGGACGACCGCACAGACAGGCGGAAAGGCAAACCAAGGACCAATCACAGCTGCTTTTGTCTGCGCACTTCCGCTTCAGGTCTGCACGGGTTTCTGACCGTCCGACACATAGTCAGGATTTTTTTTTAGGTGTGCGGGGGGCGTGGTCACACACAGAGACAGATTTGACGGTTGCAGAGGTATAGAGTATAGAGGCAGAAGTATAAACTAAAATCTCATGATATTTAAATTTGTCTACTGATTCATTAGGGGAAAAGTTGTATTATAGTTTATTTTTTGCAGGCTCAGATGCATTTTTTGCATCATATTAAATAAAAAATTGGTAAACCAATTGAGTTTTGCTTTTAGTAAAAGTGGGACCCATATGAATTATTTATCAGTTGTATAATTTGCAACGATTAGTTGAATGCCATTTAAGGATGCTGCATAAACATCAGGGGCTGAGATTTATTAATTCACCCAAACATTGTCTCATTAGTTAAGCCAATGATGGCATCAAGCCACATAACTACCGCCTCACCGCAGCAGAACCCATCTGGGTCCGACGAATGCTGAATGTTGGTCAGAGAAGCATTTCTTTAGTTTGTCAATGGTCAGAACTTTTGTAATACACATTGTTATTATTGGTGGCTTCCATATGAAGGTCATTTTTGGTTGTTGAACTAATAAAAAGCAACGGTTCCATTGATTGATTGATTTGACTTTATTGATCTATAGATATAAAGAACAGGTTATTATTATTATAGGGCAGGCATCCCCAAACTCGGTCCTCGAGGGTCACTGTCCTGCAGGTTTTAGAGGTTTCCTTGTTCCAGCACAGCTGATTTTAATTGAAAGCTGATTAACAGGCTTCAGCTCTACTGCAATCATGATAATCAGCTGTGCTAAAGCAGGGAAACCTCTAAAACCTGCAGGACAGCGGACCTCGAGGACCGAGTTTGGGGATGCCTGTTATAGGGTATTAAATAGTGATTGCACATTAGATATTGCACCAGTCATTGCTGTTGTAGTGTTGCATTGCAGCAGGGATGAATGACCTGCAGTAGCGCTGCTTTTTACTGTAAAAGTCTTTGACTAAAGGAGCTGCTCAGCTCCTCTCCAGTCTGCTGCAGAGCGTGGAAGGTGGCGTCCATGATGGATGGAAGCTTGGACAGCTGCCTCCTCTCAGCCACTGAGTCCAGTTTGTTCAGCCTCTTCAGGTTACACACCTTTGATACCAAAACATGCAACTATTCAAACCTGGATGAAATGAAAAGTATTACAGAGACGGGGCAGGACCACCAACATGAGGTCGACTTTCGTTTAGATCTTTTTAACAATAACCAACAAGGATCCACAGCTCTAATAAATTATAAACGAAATAAAAGAAGATAAAACAATTTTCTATGTTACATTTAACAGTCAAATGCAGCTGGACGGCTGTCCTTTTAGATCTGTCCCTAGTTCTGCAGACCTAAATCAAAGGGCTAAACTACCACGCTAGCCGTTAGCAGCAGTTAAGCTATGTAGCGCTCTGCTAATGAGCTCATGTTGGAGTCGGGTGTGTTGAGGTAAAGGTGGTTGCCCGATACTGGCCCTTGAGGAACAGTTTGAGACCACTTCTAGATTTTGATAAACATTTGTTCATCTGATTCCAGATGATCCTCAGGTTTTTTTTTTTTTTAACTGTTGATTAATTTCTTAAAATCTGTGTCCATCGCTGCTTTACAGAAATTCTTAAATGCCGACGTGGTTTTGGTCTTAAATAGCTATACATTCCCATTTTAAATGTCAGATTTAAGTAAAAACAAATTTACTGATCAGCTGAAGTGTAGAGTCCAGAATGAAAATATGAGCCATCAGCCAGGTGCTGTAGGTAGAGGTTGGACTGTTGACCCTGATTTTAATCAACCTTCTAACAAATCCATGGATGTCCTTGCTTGAGGAGCGCCGGTTTGGCAGTGAAGCAGAAATCTGTTCAGACACAAGCTACCGTGCTCTGCTGGCGAACGGCGAGATGTTGCTGGTGGGCACAGAGCCGTGGAGGACGACCGTTACCTGAAGCGAAGCATCCGCATAGTCTGAGCTCACGACAGCGGACATGTTTACCTTCCTGCACGGTCCGTCTGGCCTCAGGGAGGAGAGCTGGTTTATTCATTTCATTTTTATTTTTAAAGATTGGAGGGATGGGGGGCGGGGGTCAGAGAGAGAGAGAGAGAGAGAGAGAAACCTCTCAGAGTCAATTTTAAAGAGTAAAAGAGTGGGAGGGACGCTGAGAAAGAGCATTGAGGGAAGTGAGAATCGGCAGTTTCTTCTTCTACTTTAGAGGCCATTAAGACCAATATAGTGTCTCCAGTCTTTGATCCTCTCCCCAGTCATCCCTTTGGAGTCCCAGTATCTTTAGAAATCCCATTTCACTTCTAACTGCTATATGTTTGCTTATTGTGCATGGAGTATATGTCAGCAGGTTGGTTGCTTTATAGAAACTATGCCCAAACAAAACGGAT